TTCTGTCCGAAAGCTATACGGGCGGTGCTTCAGCACAGGTTCTTGGAAGACCTATCCGGATGTCTGCTTACTGCGCAACCATAACAGGACAACCGTACAAAATAGCCTCACAACTCCACAGCTGGATGAAGGACGCTTGGTTGCAGAAAGTCTATTGGAAGAATTTTGTCTCTACAGTGACGCCGTGAGGGAACAAGTTATTAATAATGCTTTGCAAGTATAACTATACAGAAACGAAATACATTAATGTACTCCTGCTAAAAATATTGCGGCCGCTTGAGCAAATTTAGTTTGTACAGCTGCACCCTACAAGGTGAGAAAGTCCCTTCCATCTACCAGCCCTTGAAATGGTATCCATTGAAAGTTCCCATGAGGAAGAATTCATCCCAGCCGAATATTTCCACGTCCTCGCTCGGCTTTACACATGCCCGCTGAGGATATTGCTGCAGGTTGGCAACATCCTGTGAAGTGTGGCGGCGCTTAAGCATCGCCTTGCTGACCGACCTTTTCTGCTGCCGCTCCCAAATAAGGTTGAGTCGGAGTGACTCGGTAAGTTCGGTAGCTAGCATGTTGCAGCGGGTGGTTCGGGGAGAAAAGGCCGCGGGGAAGTTGACGTGAGCAGCGTGGGTCGTGATGGGTTGAGCGTTGGATCGTGGGATTTCGCTAATAGGCTTGAGTGCAGAGTGTCGGAAACCCTTCATCATCAGAGGGGCTCCATCAGAGTCGTTGGGAGAGCCGCCCAAACTGGTTCCGTTGGGTTCGCCTCGGGATCGGTGGACGGCTGGAGTTGACTGCGAAGCTTGGTTGCCAGGAGTGCTGGCTCGTTTGTTTTCGGCAAGCATGAGCGTAAGTTGCGATGGGCGGGAGGCGAGGTTGGCTTTGGACTCGACACGCTGGAAGAACTTGTCGTCAACACTAGATTTGCCGCTATGTCCCGGACAGTCTTCCCAGTCAGAAGAGTCGTCGTCGTCGATGGCACACTCGTCAACATATTCGGCTTCGGTGTTAGAGCCGACGGCAGACTCACTCTGTTGCAGAGCCTGGGCTGTCAAGTTCCTGATGCGAGTGTTGGGAAGGACGGGGTGATCGGAGGATCCGCCGATAGCGAACCGAGCAGGCTGCTTCTTACGTTGCTTGGGTGCTGGTGAAGAGCTCTTGTTCTCGGTGGTTAACTTGGACACCCCATCAATATCGCCTGAGATGATATATTCAGGCTCATGGGCCGCAGAGGTCTGTCCTTTTATTCGGGTACGATCCTGAGGGGATCCCGATATGGTGAAGCCAACAGTCTCGGCGTCGGTCAAAGAGTCACCGGTCAAAGATTCGACGCTGTGAGACAGTCCAGGAACTTCTCCATTTCTCGTTTCCGCACAATTCTTATTCGAGATGGTATACAAAGTGATGGGATTGGCAGGCAAGTCTAAATTACGAAACAGCGCTGCCATTATGCTGCTCGTGCTGTTAGCAAATTTAGCCAGTTGCGTTATTGGTGAGAGCTACTATAAACGACTCTAGCAAGCGAGAAAAGTCATACGCAGCCGGGACCACTGACAGTGTATTCAATGGAAGAACTTTGGTGCAAGACGCCAAACACGACGGACTGTTCGGGATGGAGGCGATGGTCGACGTAATGATCTCCAATGAAGGCAAGCGATGCAGCAGAAAACGGGCTTACAAAAGCGACATACAACAGCCAGGCGGACAAGCTGGTATTCTGGGCTGTTCCCCAGAGGCTAGGCACGTTGTCGGTGGTTTTGACTTTACTTATACAACGAAGTGCTGTCGTCGTTGTTACGCGTACATCCAACATACCTGTACTACGTAGATATATCGGATCTAGTAGCGGGCGATACAGCTCATTAGCTCCTGGTCACACCGCGTACACCACTCCGCCCTCTTTGGGTATGGTCTGTTACGGGGGTGCTGGCTAATGAGTGATCCAGCGTTCCGTGGCGTCTGAAGAAAAGCAAGATGGTCATGCAGCCGGGGGCACTAACTCGGCGGCCCGAGGCCTATTATTGATTGTGGGGGAGACGAGATCATCGCGCACTTACCATGCACGATTGATTAGGCGACTTGCTTACGCCACGATCATCAGCTCGGAATTGCCATTGACTATTTTGAAAGTGTGGGGCAAACCAGAGGAGCCCCCGAGTACATGCATATCCCTGTCGCTGTTGACCCGCACCTGCTGTCCACTCGGCTGCGCGGAATCATCCCCATGGAAGGGCCACACCCAGCCTGCCACCCCCCTCGACGCTTGTCATTAAAGCCACCATGTCCACGTAACGAAAAAGACGGGCGGACAGAGGTGACGGCAGGCCTAGCCCAGGTTCCGCTTGGGCAGGGATGCTGGTTGAGTCGAGGGAAACCTGTCGGTGCGTTGCCCCTGGTCAAAATGCAACTGCGCTTCAATCGGAGCTCTATTTCCACAAGAGGATAACAGCAAAAGTACTCTGGGGCACATGCACACGTTCACTCTATGTACCTGCGCCTGTATGAAAGCACATGCGCTAACGGCTTATTCTGAGCCATGGTTGCAATTCCCAGCCGCCAGCACGTTCCGGTCCTGCACAAGGCTCACTTTGCCTGTCTCTTGTGCTGTCTGATGCAGCTGCCTCTGTTGGTGGAAACCCGCAAGCGCTCTTGCTACCTGGGTCTACCTGGGCGGTGAGTGGCAACAGTCGTGGGGGCCCTTCTGTTGAGGCAGCAGTATTCCAAAGGTACTAAATATTTTCAGTTTCCAACGCGCAACGAAGGACAACAAGAAGAGTAGTGAATTTGTGAAAAGAAGCCCAGGTAGCAAAGAGTCCCATAACATGGCACTTCCACCTTCACCTTCACCTAGCGCGGTCCAGTGCCAAAGCCTGCACCTGTATGCAATCACACTTTCTCCTCGGTGCACTAGCGGACTCTACTCTCGTGGTGAATACGGAGCGCGGTTCAGCCTTGTTTCCAATGCTTTTTTCTTTACAGAACTTGGACCATTCAGTCTAGCTTCATCTCTGCGCTTGACAGCCCTTCCTGCCACACACTGGCCTATGGTCTCCTTGCCGGCGCAACCATAGACTACACGGCTGGATCTGGATCAGTTTTGTCCTCGACTGTGTCAAAAGTGTGACGACTGGTCCATAGGGGGGGTTGGGGGGTTCAGTCTTCCCTCTCCTTCTTCTGTGGGCAGTTAGTTCTTATCCGTCTTTCTTGCCTTTCTTAATTTATCATTCACTTCTTAGTGATCCATCCCTACAAGCCAATTATTCAGAGCAGGGGGTAAGTGTCAACTCCTCACGTAGGACTAACAGAATATCCCTCAAAGAGATAACGTAGATGGCATCGGCAAGGTGTCAATTACCGAAACAACAAGTGACAACATATCTGCGTATAAACAGTGACCCGACATCTTCCTGGAATGACGTAAACCTCTTGATGAATTTGCCAACATCCATTCCATATGCCCTTCGGTATCCGACCTCTGAACGTAGGGTAATTCACCCTCTAGCTATGCCCTCCATCGATTTGCCATTCCAAGAGGAAATAAATTTGAGCATGAATGGATTTGCGAACCATCGGTGCTTGCCCCTCCAAAGCCCGAAGCCAATACAATCGCGTGGAGGTGCCTTCCCAGGCCCTCCTCAACAGCACTCATTAATCATGCCTAGGCAGATGTTACCGCGACATGGAATGATTCCTCCAACTCACACGTCCCACGGTATGTTTGAACAACCACCGAGTCTGCCACCACATGATAAATTCAAGATGCTCCAGATCAATCGAAAACGCCGCGCTGCATATGGACTCATCTAGCCCATCTGACTTATTTGGAGCTCTATCGAGGGAGAAAGTCCGCCCTCCCAAAGAAGAGATGAATCATTTAGACTCCTATCAGCAAGATTTGGGGTTCAATGACTACCCATTACAACTTTCGGTTTTCTGACCATTACGTGCTTTCTTCGACGCAGCCGCCAGTGAAAAAGTGAATTTCACCCTAGATGCACCAATCAATATAAAAATATATTGTCAATATGTACATATCGCCTCATATTGTATTGTCGCAATATCGCAAACTGCATATTTTATTTTATTGTCACAATATCAGAGAATGCATATCATATGGTATGTATTGCGATAACTATATTGTTTTATAGCCATATTATTTACCACACTGCTTTTGATCAAGAACCCTTGAGTGAGCACTGGAGACCCCGAGGCGGCCTTTCCGCCCCAGTCCCCCTACGGCAGTCAGAGTGCCAAGTACACTACGAAAAAAGGGATCAAGATTCATCAATTCTCAAAATCAACTCTCGGCTCCCCTTCTTGCTTCCTTAAATAGCCCTATGGTATAGAATTCAGTCCCATGATCACAGTTGAATCCTCCTTTCATTACACATGCTTGTGCCTCGGCTTCCCACTTTCTCCATTCGAGTTCTAGCTGCTCATATTCTTCTTCAGTCAGTGACCTAGTTTCTATCTCCCCAAAATTCTGCTCTTCTAAACAACAAAGGTAAGGGTGCTTTGCGATTCTAACCCAGCCAATTACTGGATACTTGGCTTTGCGAATTTGCTCAATATCAGGACGCATGGGGAGAGTTGAGTCGAGAGTAATCCTAAACATAGATAAACCAGAATACCATACCATATCACAACCCCGAAAATTATCCCTGTTCCACCGACATTCCGGGCAGAGTGTCCGACCACGTGCTGGCTGACGAGGATTTGGCTCCGTGTAATCATTGGGGAAAACATGGTGATGGTGCAAATTGCAAGGACGTCGAAGCCTAGTGTCCGGTGGGGGTTGAAACTGCTCCGGCTGTCCGCTGAGGATCACCCAGAAGTGCTCCATTCTCTGAAAGCAGCCCAAAACCTGACATATTAGCGAAGGCACTTCGAGGAGATGATTATCTGCAACAACGGTTTGCAAATTGTGTATCGAGGGTGACAGCCAATCCCGACGCCAAGTATGGAGGCCTTGTAGGTAGAAGATGTCGTGCTCGAAACTGACAGCGATGCAACGCGCCAGTGCACTTGTGCTTTGCAGTGTATCGGGGAAGCGACGGAGGAATACGGAGCGGCTATGGCGGCAGACGCACCTGAGCGAGGATGGTCGATGTGTGATCAGGTCGGTGATGCAGCCTTGCTGATCGAAAGCCACGACAATTACTTCATGGTCCGGCATCGCACATTGCCAAATTAACTCGCGGACCTCAGCAGGTAGGCGCAGGAAGGATGGAAATGTAGTAATTGGCGACGACATAGTAGTATTTAAATTTATTGCGGTTGGTATGTTAATACAGGAGGCGATCAGGGAATGACGTTTCGTAGGTCGAGTGAGTGCGCGATCAAAGTTGTAGATGAGTACTTGGGAAGGAGCTCATTTAAGGCGGCGTGTCGGATGAAACCGTTGAACGTCACAGCGGAACACAGATGAAAAGAGTGCGTTGATTCTGTAAGCTAGAGTTGCCGCCAAGGCACGCTATTTATGGAAGGCGCAGGCTGGACCCTGCACATGATGCTGTTTCATGTTCAACAGCATTGGATCCGGCAACTTCACAGATCACTGCACAGAAGACGGCCGAGAGGCCATTTAACGCTCAAGATTGGAATCAACTAGTAAGAAATAGCAAGCTTTTTTCCAATGAAGACCCGGGTCAATCTACAATTCTGAGTAAAACGGGGTCGGACACTCAGCATACCATGACGGCTCGATTCATTATCGTCATTATTTGACAGATAGATTCTCCCACATTAAAACGAGACATTTAGCTCTATGCGAGCCTAGTTGACGCCCCATCCAGAAAGATCTAGTCTTCCAGATACCCCCTTCCCAACAAAGTTCATGCACTCGGCATTCTAGTTGCTTTGCTGTCCACCTTTCCCTTCCCAAATTCGGGAGGGCAGGCTTCAGATTGCCCGCTGAGTTCGGGGAGGTTTCAGGTCGCCGTCCGTCACGTGCCATTACCTCCGCTTGGTGGAGCAGCCGGAATTCAGGTTAGCGTCGAAGAGCATTGCCATGCTCAGATCTGCGCCATACTCAAATATTTCTGTGTCCCCGAAATCCTAAGCTTGTTGCCTGAAATGAAGACACCCTCCAATACCGGGACATGGCACGTCACCGTGCGTCAGCCTCCCAGAAGCCTGTCTATGGATATACACGTCGCCGTGCGCCAGCCTCCCAGAAGCCTCTCACACCACAATGAGTTTGCAGTGTGAATTGACCGCTTACCTGAAGGACTTCCTCACACAACAGTGGACACGGAAACAGCTACCCAGGGGCCTTGAGCAAGGTTGGAAGGACTATTTGGAAGACCCAGGAGCCAACAGATACCCCGGGTTGAAATCTTTTTTGGCCGTCCGTCTAGGCACAATTGAAACTGCGAGCCACTACGAGAATCGAAAACCGAAGGGTTGGCTCGCTAGAAGCTTGCAGCAGCTGTCACCGGACGAGGTCCAAGAGATTCTGTCCAACCTCGAGCAGACGGTCCCGCATCCTACGGTCACGAAAGTACTGAACCGAATTATGGCGACATGCCCACCAGGCATACGTAAGTTACCAATGGCAACATTCCCACCAGGCATACGTAGGTTACTGGAGATGCTCCGTACAACATGAACTAACGAGACGGTATCACGTTAGAACGGCCTGCTCATGTAGAGCATCCCCCGATACTACAAGGACAAAGCACGACAGTCGCGACTCCTGGAAATACTTCCGAGGCGAGAGATCGAGATTCTCGTGATAGTCCACACGCTTCGAGCGACGTCGACCTCGCAACGAATATAAGATACCAACAGCCAGCACTAGCTGTTACGGCTGGGCAAAAGTTTGACAACGGTTGTCCTAAAGGTCTTACCATGGTCTTTCCTCCATTTATCTGTAGTGCTATTAGGAAAATTGGTGCTGCGGATGGCACCAAAGTCGCGGATGGCACCAAAGTCGCGGTCACGATGATATTTCCGTACCAGCAGGACGGAAGCATTCACTGCCTCTGTAGCTTGAGTATAATACCAAGCAAGCTCGTCATAATTGCGAAAGAAGTGATGGATGTGATACTTGACATCGAAGGTGGGATGTTGTACGTTGTCAGCGAGAAGGGTTGGAAAGTCCTTCCTTGTCCAAGTATGACCCTGCAGGGTGCACCGAAGGGAGGGATCCGTTTTCTGGGGGACAGAGCGTCCGATGCAATTGAAACCAGCCCCCAGCGAAAGGATGAATTAAACAGATCGATTATTCACACGTCTAGTGTGACATTGAATATCAGCCATAACCCGGATGATGACGGGCAACTTAACCTCAATTTCGGACTCGAAGCTGGATTGAAGATCCGGGCACTGCTTTACCCTGATAAATAAAATGCTGACCCTGCAAAACGTATGCTACATTCTTATTGTTTACCAAGTCCACCGTCGCCTATCAAAATCAACACGTAGTCCTTAGCCAGTCTCATTTCGCCCGTTCTCAGATTAATCATCTTGCCGTGGTCCTCCTTCTCCCTTGCCAAGGTGACAGACGGACAGTCTTTCCAATACACCATTCGGTCTTTTCCGACTAAACGTAGTGGGGTTGGTGTAAAGTCGCTGAAGTCGGTTACGGTGATTTCTTTCGGTTCATTAAGTTGGTTCTCCTAATAATGTCAGATGAGGGATTCATCAAACAAAGCTGCACTGTACACTTACCATCGGAACCTCTTTCATCTGTATTCGCCCAAAACTATTTTACCGCTTGTTGGTCTCCTCTGGTAGAAAGCCCATGCGTTACGATGACGAACATATGTGAGAAGCGAGGTGCGCTCTGTTGAAAAAAGTCATGATGACAGAGTTGGGTTCTTACCCCTCGGCGGGGTCGCGATAGGGCATATGATCGGGCACAAACTGCCGCCGCCTCGGCCCGCCTGAAAAACCGAGTTTGTCCGACGAATCCATCAGTTGTGCCCATATCATCAACAATCGTGAAAGGTTTTAATGTTATTTACCTGGTTTGGAAGGCATATCGTCACTCCCATGAGCAGAAGATTTCTGTTGAATTACACATCGTAATTTTCTTACATCACTTGGCAGTCATTCATGGTTTCTTTTTCCCTTATCACCACCCCTCACCCCGGAGAGATCCTTGTAGCTGGTCCTAAGGTGACCGTCATTTCAGGTTCAGGCCTAAGGCATCACTTCGGGAACTGTTTCACAAAACTGCAATGATGTTCAGAAGTGGGGTTTCACATTGGTTCGGTTTGGGGATCCACTGTATTGCTACAAGGATATTCGGGAAGTAGGGTCAGATTTCAGGACTCAGCCTCGGGGCAGTATAATGATATTCAGGAAGTCGAGTCAGATTTCAGGACCCTGTCTCAGGGCAGTACAAGGATATTCAGGAAATAGGGTTTATAGCCGGAAACATTTTCAGGAGTGTGACCTGCCCCCCCCCACAAGGATATTCAGGAAGTAGGACCCACTTCGGGGACCTCTCAACGATCACAGTCTCAGGGCGAGGAGTAGAGTTTCCTCGTTCCGCTATCCTAGCCCGAAAAGGAAGACAGGTGCATGATGCTTTGTCTAACGTACTCAGACGCAGGCCTGCAAAACGGCCGAGGTCGTGACCACAGTTGATTGGTACCATCACCTGTTATGACGGCGGTGTTGTCCAGTAAACACCTTACAATGCGGCTCCCTATGCTTCGTGTAGGATGTATATAAACGTCGATTTTGCCAGAAGGAATCATTCGCAACCATCATCACCGATAAGTGCCTCCAAAATAATCTATTGTAATTCTCCTTGAAGTGCCCTTTTCTAGCAAATTACCCACTGACCTCCCTGTTAGGCACTGTCCCAAACTCACCATGAGTGTCAACAATACGGATTCCCAACCAATGACCGAAGCAGAACAAAAAGAGTGGGAAAGGCTCGGAGTTACCGCTCCTCTGACCCAAACCGAACTAAAGAGAACGGAATCGAGCACTGGCACCACCCGCCGGGACGGATCCAACAGTCAAGGCAATAATGAGTCCCCCAACACCACGAGCGCATCTAATAACGGAGTTGAACATAAGTGAGGAATAGACACGGAAAGTTAAGGAAGGCAGTTATCCTAGAACAAAAACTGTTAACTCTAGAGAAGCTTCTTTGAATTCATTCAATAACATCACTGCGATGCACTTGTTATTGTTGAACATGAAACAGCATCACGTGCAGGATCCAACCTGCGCCTTCCATAAATAGCGTCCCTTGGCGGCATCTCTAGCTTACAGAATCAACGCACTCTTTTCATCTGTGTTCCGCTGTGACGTTCAACAAACGCCACAGACCGTCCTTGTCTGAATATGTAAAATGAGAGTGGGACTTGCGGCGGAGACAGAGATTGGCGGTCTGTACGGTTGAATGGGATTCCGTTATCACTTCCTTGAGGTTGACCGAGGCTTTCAAACATCGCCCGAAGTCGATGGAAAGTGGCTTGTGGGAAAGAATCGTAGTACGCATCGTGCGGATTGGTTGGAGTATTCTGTGATAAGGGACACTCGCGCGGCCCAATATTTACTTCCAAGTTGCCTGCGTGTTGTAGTTTTGGCAGTCCTGGTTGCGGGTCAATTGTAACGGTCTAGCGAGTATATTGACAACTGACTAGATGATTCTAACGAATATCCAAAGCTGAAGAAGAAAGAGAAGAAAGAACAAGCCTGAGCTCGCCGCTGCTAATCTCGCTTGTTGTCGGGTCAATTGGCAGCTTGTCGATAAGAGGCAAGAGCGCAGCCGAGTCATTCTCGGGCCTAGCCCGTTACATCAATCTCTAACCTCACCTAGACGTAATTATTAGCACAACAACGATTCCTAGGTACCCATATAGTCGCAGTTTGAAATGAACAGCATTTCTGTATCACGATATGTACACTATGGGGTAACATTCATCAAAAGGGAAGGCGGCTAGACGGGGGGCACGAAAGATCACCTCATTAGGCGGCTGGTCTGGTAGATCCGCCTCGAAAATCCATCTGATTTATCTGCTTGCCTGCTACGAAATCAAAATGTACAGTAGACGAAGTGAGGGCGATGGTAGGCCTGGTAATATGAATAAAAGTGCATTCCCACAAAGGATGGATGGAGAATAAAAATGGATGGTATGTGGTGGCATTCAGCGCGAGGGATTCGGGTTTTTATACTCTCTTCCGCAATATTGTGGACAATAAGCACAGGGATAAGAGCCACACACGAAAAGGGAAGCATACATCTTAGGAAGAATTTCGTACTTGAGGTATTGTAGTGGGCTGTTGCTATCACCCCAGCTAATTCCTGGCCCTTAATATATCTCAATGATTCTGCCACTCGAATCTCTTGCTCCGTCCAGTGGCTGGGACTGCCTGCACGTCGCCAACGGCCAGTGTACAGTTGGAGACAGCGGTCCATTCTGGATATTTCCACGCAAAATTTATGCAATCAAGGCCACCACGCTTCACATGGGCAAAAATTATGCTAATACCACAAAATCCACGAGTGTTGGCTTCAAACGCCCGTCAGGATGTTCAACACGTGTGCCCCGGTTCCCATCCATCACTGCCAGAAGGTCATTGAGCGTGTTTGTCTCGTGAACTCGGCCATAGTCTAGAACAGGAACCTATGATGACGCTTACAGCCCCAAAACCGCGAACACCAAGGAAGTCCCTGACATCACCAGCCTTGAACCGGTCAAATGGTTAGTTAGTTATACAAAAGTCGACATCCGCTATCAATTTTGCCGCCGCATCAGGCGGGCCGAGGCGGCAGCGGCCTTCTCTTAAGGTGTTTTACCTAGAGAAACATTGGACGGTTGAGGACAAACTGACAACGATATTGAACATCCTCAATGCCGAGAAAGGCAACCATCAAACGATATTGAATAAATACCACAAGAATAGGGATCATGGATAGAAATCAGTTGAAAGATCTTCAATCCCGATAGAGCAGATATTATAATCAGGTACAAGGTTTGAAACTCAAGCAGAACTAGGACTGGTACACAAAGATACGAGGGGACGTCAAAGTCTGTGAACATGCCTCAAGCTTCGTTCGGTGTCAGGAAACCGCTCGGCAAAGATACAGAGAGAGCCGCCCACTAGGCTAACATTAGAGGTGATTTGCACGGCAGAGAAGCCTACGAGGTATAATGGAGTTCGAAATAAAAATTCAAGTCACATACACTGGAGCACATACAATCCAAGGCCACCTCTACCCATCATAAAGCCAGGAACTAACAATGTCTTCAATAGGAGAGTCCGTATTTTATAAATCAATAACTGAAAGCCTTCTTTATCTCCTCATAGCTCGCTCCTTTACATAATAGAAGCCGCAGCTTGACCCAGGCTTTCATCGAGCTTAAATTCCCACCCCCAATGCATCCGTCCCCCAATCCGTACACAAAGGCGCCGCTGACATGCCCCTCTTCAGGTCCACGACAAACAACCACAGGAAACTGCCTGGGTTTGCTGTACTCCATTATCTCCTTGCCAGGCTTGGTTGACCAGGAGCCAGCCCCCATGCCTTCAAGGACAATGCCTCTTGCGGGATCCTCGGCCTTCTCTACTGCAGCGAAGAAGAGGTCCACAGTTGATCCTGGGTAGCCTTTCAAAATATCGACTCTCGGGAGATCCTTGACCTTTTGGAGATCAATCGAGATTCTTGGATCCGTCGGCAGACTCGGGTCGTAGTTGTATCTCACGTCTTTTTGGTCGACAATATGGCCAAGGTATCCAGCATCTCCAGCGTGAATGGCACCTGGCCTATTGGCGTGGTGCTTATCGACGTAATAAGCGGAACTGATCGTGTCATTGGATACCCACAACACCCCACGGTCCCAGGACAGTTTACTCATAGCCACCAAAATGGCATGGTACACATTTCGATCCCCATCGGGGCTCATAGACGTAGGGGGTCGATATGCACCGGTAAGGACGACGGGTATGCGCAGAGCAATAACATGGTAGAGAAAAAAGGCGAACTCAATGACATCCGTACCCACCAAAAGGACAAAACCATCAGAAGACCGAGTGCTTTCTGCAAGGAGATATCTCGCGAGCTCGAGCCATTTGTCGCTACCAAAGTCAGGGCTACCAGTACCGGTCTCCGCAAAATCGTGGAACATTAATTTAACCCTCTGGCCCAATTGAGGAGCAACTCGACTTCGAAATGCCTCGGCATTGAGTGCTCCCATTGTGTACATTTGAACGTCGGTGGGATCCTCTGCAACGCTGGTGACGGTGCCACCACAAGAAATAACGAGGATTCTTGGGGTATCCTCCACTGGGGCGGCTTTTTCTGGGGGTCCTGTCGCCGGGGCTTCTTTTGCTGTTTCCGCGGCCATGTTTTCTCCGAGGTGAACGTATGGCGTGAATAATTGAAGGGGCAATAACCAGCTAGTAGGCAGGATCGACAGTAAGTTTGATAGGAATTAACGGCAGCTTGGCCAGCTGGTTATATGTTTCTTGGTTTCTTTTAGAGATATCCGATGATCAGGCAGCCCATGCTGGGCCCCCCGCATAGCAACCCCTGCTAAGAGAGACATGGACGACTATCATGCATCTCCTTTTTCTCCTTTTTTTTTTTTGTTTTTGCAGAAAGGGGAGGATCTAACTCTCACCGCTGAACTGTGGTCCGCGTGGTGTACGTCAACAGGTTTGACTGAGGTTCAATGCTGAACGTCATCAACAATGACATGCGAGCCATAAATACAACCTCAAAATAAATGACACTTATAGGTTTGCTAGGTCCCCGCGCTATCGTACACTGACGACGGTCACCAGTCCACATCCCCGCCGTCAGTCGTTCCAATATAGATGGATTTTGGATGAACGTGAAAGCAATATTATACTGAGACACAGCAGGACAGGCCGACAAGATCACGACCAACAGTCCGTCGGCTTTTATGTGGCTCGGAATGCCTATGAAAGCGACCACGTCTCAATTTTACAGCGGGATCAAGTCAAGTGGTTTGCGCATCGAGTGGCGGAAGTCTCCAAAACAGTCTCGCCTTTTTAAGTATCTAGGGCTCTACTTCCCTGTCGCAGCATTACATGAGTTTGCATTCATGCTACATAGATTAGCTATTGCGTATTAACTGTCAGAAACAACAATGGAAGCACGGATAAGGCAATTGACTGAACATCCTGGCTACTGAAGCAGCTAGGTCGCAAAACGAGACATGACTATCTGCTTATCCGGCAGTTTCCTTGCTTCGGAGTGGCCATTCCATTTTTCTGATCTTGCAAACGCAATGAACAGTCGATCAACATCTGTTGAACCAGCGAAAGTTGCCTAGGGAGACGTCACGTCTAGCCAGCCACTACGCAAATTTCGAGATGTTAGTTCAAAATCCACCAAGCTCCAGTTGGTTTCGGAGACTCCCTGCCTCCGCATGCTTTGAATATTCGGTCTATCTCTTCCAATTTCTCCTACGGACAGGGTCTTCCACAGCCTGTTTCGCATTAGTCTTTGCGCAACCAATACCCCGGTTATTGAGATAGGTAGATCTCACTCTGTATAAAACTCATCATCCTGCCAAGTTTCTCTCCACGACCGATGGACTGGAGCAGCCCAGTCGCTTGGGCAGCATTGTCCCAGAGCTTGGTATGAGCCAATTCCTGGGCACAAGCCCATATTACGTCATCCCTGCTCAGAGTAATGCCGCCGCATAGATAAAATGAAATGTGTTCATCAAGACAAGGTACGATTTTGCGTTGCAGAGCCTCCCTGTTTTCGGGTTGCCCGGAGGCGGTTCTCATAAGGTCGAGCAACTGAGCCCAGACCAGGGTGGCGATCAACTCA